TCTCTCCCTTTCAACTTTGGTGATTGATTGAAGACTATGTAATTTGGGAGGAGTAGATCAATGTAGTTCAATCGCAGTAAGTTGGGAAAGTTGAGGAATATGTGAAAATGTAAAACTAGAGCTAACTAGGGAAGCAAGAGGACACTTCAATATTGATAGGATCCAATTCCCTTCATTTCGAATTAGACAGAAAAATCTCTGTTTGTTAAACTTTCAAGACTTCAGAAGTTTGATGTGCCTTTATACTTGTATAGGAACGGAAGTTGTTCTTCAGTATAGATATATATGGAAGAGCCTTGTTAGAATAGTGATGTTTGTGAACTTGCATAGAATCTTACATTGATCACAACCACTTTTGCAATGGATTGAATATGCTATGGCGTAAAAACATCTTTAACCTTCTCTTCTCTCTCACCATGCTCCCGGCGCATGGTAGTTAACCTACGCCACTGTGAATACCATGGGGCCTGGACGAGGCAGAGGACGGCGAAGGGGATGACAAAAAAAAGTGCCAATTGTTTCGTTTGGAAGCACAGTTGGTGCAAGGATGCAGCCTGAAACCTCCAAAGCAAAAGCACAAATTACAGAGGACCATTTTGACCATGCAAGCACCGGACGAGATGCGATTGACATGTTAACAAGAGAAATTAGCACGCAATTAGATCTAAGGGAAAATGCAGCAGCAAAACCAAAGGAATTGACCACGAGCGCTGTAACCCTAATGGAGAAATCCAATGGAACAGTAACCCCAGTGGGAGTGAGTTCTTCGGTGGGGACTTTGATGGAAGCAACAACTCAGAGGAGACCAATTTCAGGCAATCATAGCGAGAAGCCCATGGATTTGGAAAGAACAAGCACAAGTCCTGAAGAGAATGCTCCAGCGAAGGCACCATGGACAAGCCTATTTGCTAGAAATAGATGTGCTACTAATGGTATGTCTCTTTCTTACATTCCACCTAAGATAGTGAACGGACAACCCATGGCTCAACTAGTTAAATCTGAAGTTAATAAGGAACATGGGTCACCAAACTTTGTGAATCACAAGGCAACTTATAGGCTGGGTTATGTTCCAACTGAAGAAGACAAGGCAGCCGAGGTAGATGGGCGGTCCCACTAGGTGAGATAATGAGACCAAAGCATGAAAAATCGGCTGCTTGTGAAATCAACAGGAAAGCTTTGGCTGTTTGCTTTAGCAACGACGGTAAAGGGCAGGTTCTGTAGTCAACTGCACAAGGAAGCTGAGAAGTGGACGAGTGCTCTTATTGTTTATGTGTTAGGAGAGGTGCCTGGTTTCAATGTGATAAGCCGATACATAAGGAAAAATTGGTCCGAGTGTTGCTACACCTTACTTGTTTCTACATGAGGAGGGCTACTATGTGGTGAAATTCCACAGTGTACAGGACATGAAGGAAATATTCTATGCAGGGCCCTATACCATTAACAACGTCAAATTTCCAAAGCTTCCTATGAGATGTTGGAGCAGTGATTCTCTTAGTAGAATTGCAAGTCTCATTGGTACTCCAATATATGCAGATGAGTGCACCTCCAAACAAACACGAATTTCATTTGCTAGGATGCTGATAGAGGTGAATGCCACGAAGGCACTCCCTGAAGAGGTGGCTGTGATGGAGCCAAATAGGGAGGTTATCCAACAGAGAGTAACTTATGACTGAAACCCTGAGTTTGTGATCAGTGTCTCCAAGTAGGCCACTCATGTAAAACCCAATCACAAACTGGCCAGCAACCACCAGAAGTTCAGAGAAAGAGGAGAGGTCCAAAAAGAGTGGAACAGGTATGGAGAACTAAGAATCCAAGTGATAAACCTACTGAAGGAAATGTGCAGATGCAACAGCAGCAAGCCCAAGGAATACAAGGCAACAGTGTGCAACCACAAGTTGATTTAATGGTGCATACTCAGCAGCAGCCTGTTATCCTGCAAGATGAAAGTGCTCAAACAACCAAAGAGGATCAAGTGACTGTAACTACAAAGAGTAAAGGAAAGGCCCCAACGCCACAAAGCCCTCCAAAGCCCTCCACTACAATAACTTTCTTTTACTGGGGACTACTCCACTCATAAACACCTTTGAGATAACAGAGAAGTGAAGACATAATGCCTCCTGATAAAGGGAAGGGTCCAAATACCTCTCAATAACTTGGTGTATCTGGAATGTGAGGGGCATTAATAAGAGGTATAAGCAAAAGAAACTAAGGAACTACCCCAGAACTGGCAAAATCAACTTAGCAGGATTAGTGGAGACAAGAACCAAGCAACACAATGCTATGAAGATACTTAAAAACATTGCTCATGGCTGGGGATTTCACAATAACTATTAGGAAGCAGACAATGGAAGAATATGGCTAATCTGGGATGATAACAGGTTTTACGTGAACCTGTTAGTTGTAGCAGCCCAAATGATCCACTGTAAAGTTACAGATAGAACTACTGCAACTGAACAACTGGTGACGATTATCTATGGTTTTAACACTGTGGAGCAGGTTATCCTCATGGGCTGCATTGACTACATTGGGCCCTTCAATCAACCTCCCTTGGTTGGTGGGTGGGACTTTAATGCTGTATTGTATCCCATAGACAGATTAGGAGGCAGCCCTATCAGTGCCTCTAAGATCAAAGACTTTGAAGATTGTATACTCAACCTAGGCCTTAATGAGCTACACTGGAGTGGACAGTATTATACATGGTCAAACAAGTAACAGGGTAATGACAGAGTATGTAGTAGAACTGATAGAGCCTTGGGTAACGGAGATTTGGATGATGTGTTGGGGCTATATCAAAGTAAAATATGATATTCCACTCATTTCTTCAGAATATGATATTCCACTCATTTCTGATCATTCTCCAATGTTACTACACCTGAAATCTGCATCCAAATCACCCAATACTCTTTCAGGTCTTTAGCACTTGGACTGAACATAGCCAGTTTGAATCACTAGTCGAGGAGGTGTGGCAAAAACAGTTGGATAACAACCCCGTGAAGAATATATGGATGAAGCTGAAGGCCTTGAAACCTTTGTGCAAGAAGCTCAATAAAGAAGAATTTAGCTACATCTCACAAAAGATTCACATCACTAAACAACAGCTGAAGCTTGTACAGGAGCAAATAACTCAGCAGTATACAGATGAGCTGGTGATACTGGAGAAAAGACAACTCAAGCCTTGGAAAAGTGGTCTTTAATAGAGGAGAATGTGATGAGACAGAAATCTAATTAGATGGATCAAATTGGGTGATTCCAACACCAAGTACTTCACAACAGTAATCAAGGAGAAAACAGTCAGGAAACAAATAATGGAACTCAATACAATAGCAGGAAATAAGATCACTGATCTAAAGGGTATAATAGAGGAAATCATCACTTTTTATAAAAGCCTCATGGGGACCTCAGCCAAGGAACTACAGCTATAAACAGGTTGATCATGCAGAAAGGACCAAAGTTAAATCATCAACAACAATTGGCATTGTGGGAGGCTGTTAACACTGTTGAGATTTATGATAGCCTATGCTCGGAGATGACAAGGCACTTGGAGTTGATGGGTAAAATACGATCTTTTTTAAAAAGACCTAGCATATAATCAAGGAAGAAGTGAACCTTGATGTTTTAGCATTCTTTACAACAGGAAAGCTATACAGAGCTCGTAATTGCACTAAACTCACATTGATCCCTAAGTCTGAGAATCCTCTCACAGTGAAATAATATAGACCAATTGCATGCTGCACTGTTCTATATAAAATTATCTAAAAAATCTTAGCATCAAAATTACAAAAGGTGATACCTGACATTATCTGTGAAGCACAAGCAGGCTTCATACTAGGAAGGAAAATAGCAGATAACATCATCTTGGCTCATGAGCTAGTACAGGCTTACGCTAGGAAGCATGTGTCTCCTAGGTGTCTGATCAAGATTGATCTACAAAAAGCTTATGACATAGTTGAATGGTGCTATCTAGAACAGCTTTTCGAGGAATTAGCTTTTCTCAGGAAATTCATTGAATGAATTATGGAATGCCTTAGAACAGTCAACTACTCTATCTTGATCAATGGTGAGCCAATTGAACCATTTGATGCTGCAAGGGACCTGAGACAAGAGGATCCAGTGTCCCCTTTCCTTTTTTGCCATAGCAATGGAATATCTTAGCAGACAATTGAACAATTTGAAAGATAAGAAGGCCTTCAGATTTCACCCCAAATGTGCTAAGCTGGGGATTACACATCTGTCCTTTGCAGATGACCTCTTACTCTTTGCTCATGGAGATGTGGGGTCTATATATCACCTTCAACAGTGCTTTCATCAATTTTCCTCTGCCTCAGGCTTACAAGCTAACCTAGGCAAAAGTTCATTATATTGTGGAGGAGTGATACAGGAAGAAAAGGATTAAAAATTGCAGCGGCTGGGATACACCTATGGGAATCTACCATTCAAATACATGGGCATACCTTTGTCAATTAAGAAGTTGACCACAACACAATGGCAGCCTCTTGTACAAAAGATAGTTAAAAGAATCTCCCAGCATAGGACATTTTTGGCGTAAAGGGAAGTTTTTGGAGGATCTTGAATCCATTTTAGATGTACTAGAATCCTTGTAAGAAGACCAAGGATTTAAAGTGTCTTTTATTTTTGCTAGGGCACTTTCTTTGTAATTATGGGTGACTTCACAATTTTAGTGAAGTCTTATATTAATATACAATTATGTTACCTTCTCAAAAAAAAAAAAAAAAAAATCTCCTCATGGACTACTAGA